TTCTTTCTTTCTTTCTTTCTTTCTTTCTTTCTTTCTTTCTTTCTTTCCTTCCTCCCTCCCTCCCTCCCTCCCTCCCTCCCTCCCTCCCTCCCTTCTTCCTTCCTTCCTTCCTTCCTTCCTTTCTTTCTTTCTTCCTTCCTTCCTTCTTTCTTTCTTTCTTTTTTCTTTCTTTCTTTTGTCAAGGGGAAGGACAAAAAGCCTAACTGTCCATTGTACGCAGGCAGTCCAGAAGCTGCCTGTGGAAACAACCTGGGGAAGTCAAGGAGATCATGGCCCAGTGCTATGATGCTATAGAGCAAAAAGGGGAAATCCCAGACATAGGGAAAACATTAGGAGAATGAATGAAACAAAACAACCAGAAAAAAAACAATTGTTTTGAACCCTGAACAACCCACTCTGTACAATTCCATTGAATGGTTGCAAGTCATTCATAGTTTGGCAGAAATTTTACTCCGAACAGATTGGTTCCAAGTTGCAAATAAAACTAAATCTTGATGAGATGAATGGGGTGAGGGCTTCATATACTCTCTTTCTTAAGCAGCTCCCAGCTGCTTTTTTGTTCTATCTACCTTTTCCTCACCCCATCCTTGATTTTGTTTCTCTTTTGCTTGGACCTGACATGTTGTGGTTCATTTAGGGAATAAAATAAGGTGTCTTGTTCTGTGCACAGCCTTTTTCCTTCAATCTCCCTCCTATCTTTCAGTTTCCAAATGCCACATTACCTGAGAGACCTCACTGGGTGGGATGTCAAGGAAGCAAGCCTCACTTCCGGGGTTTTCCATGTGGACTCTGGACTCTCTTCCATCACCTGACTGTTCAAGCATCATGTCAAAAAGAGTCTGGTAAGTAACTTCATTCAAGCTTTATATCCCATTCAATCACACTGGACTTCAGAATGGAAGGTCTGGATCCACAGTCATAGTCCTTGGATACATTACTCATTATGATTTTGATGAGATTGAACATACTTAGAAAACATTTTGGGAGTTGGTTCATCACTGGCAATGCTCTGTCTTTTCCCATTCATCTCTCAGATTAAAAAATAAATAAAAGAGGAATAGAAATGACACAATTGCTCTCATACTATTTTTAATATTGCTTGTGGTGATTAAATATCTATCTCCCTTTTTTTCGAGAAGTTATCACAAAGCATGGGATTTCCTCTTTAATTTTATTTTTTACAACCGTTGCTCTGTGAGATCCCCTATGTTCATATTTGTGTGTGTGTGTATATGTATAAGTATACATATATGAATATGCAGGGGTGGGCTTCAAATTTAGCAAGGGGCTCTCTGCCCTAATGACTGGCTGGGTGGGCATGGCTAGGTGGTCATGTGACTGGGTAGGTGTGGCCAACTTGATGTTGCTTCTTTGCCCTAATTACCTAAGAAAGATATATACCAAAAAGTTGTTTATTATTTCATGCATTTAATACTTAAATAAAAGACTGGGTGAAACCAGGCTTAATAGCAATGACTCTGAGAGGGATCTTGGGATCTTAGTGGAGTTTCTGGTGAGTTACATGATCCTTATTATTTGGGAATCAATCCCCTCAGAGGCTAGTGGCTATGTTATCTGATTTTCTCAATGGCTCTCCTTTGCAAGTGCTGATTGGATTGTTTATCTAGTTTGCAACACTTTTAGGAGGTGAGAAATGCTCTTGGCTGAATGGCCAGAAGTTCAGTTAAGTCTATTAAGAGCTTTCCCTTGCTGCGTGTCTTTCTGAGGTTATTGGGGGCTCTCGGAGCCCCTCAGAGTCTTAGCTAGGGGCTCTCCCGTGCCCCTGCAAGCCCCCAGCAGCCCACCCCTATGTATATGCATATGTAAAAATGTATACCATTATTACCATTTCTTGCCAGATACCAGGCTGGTCAGATAGCATCACTGAGCTTGGGATCAAGAGGACACATGAACTAGTGTCTCTGGTCCAAGTCTAGCATTGGAACCACTATGCTACTGCTATACTACACTAGTTCCACACTATTTTGTCACACCTCATCCAAATAATTGCATACAATTTTATGGCTTTAAGAGAGAGAGAAGGAAGCATTTAAGTCAGAAACATTACTTAGAAAAGAAATGGTAGTAATGATATACAAACATGAGGGAGATTTCTCCATTTATATTCAGATAATGGTCGTTTGCTCTGACAGTAAAATATTTCATAGATATTTTTAGATGGACTGCATTACCAGTTCAAAGTAGCAAAAGAGAAATCTGTTTATTTTTGATTAGCAAGTAATAATAAATTATTTTAATAAATAAATTATGGGTATTAGTTGTACCTCTTTTCCTTCTATCAAGATTTTGATACCTTTCTTGATAAGGTTTGGCTCTTTTTAAAAATACCAGGGGCAAATGCATTCTTCCCCTTTCATCTGTTGCTCGGCTTCAGGGGAAAAAGTCAGCTGTGCTTTGGAGAAAAAACATGATCTGAGTTCACTTTAGGAAGATAGTGATTGTTGCAGGTTACTTTTTTAACTCTTTATTTATTTTTCCCTTTGGTGTTAACAATTCTGGTTTAATTTTCAGCTTCCTCAGGTATACCTGAAGTTCTTCCTACAATGAGAGGATACATCCGCAATTTCTTTGGCTGCAGGATGTGTGCAGAGCATTTTGAAGGAATGGCAGCTGAATCTATGCATGAGGTGAAGAACAGGGATGAGGCTGTGCTGTGGCTTTGGTCAAGGCATAACAGGGTCAATGCTCGCTTGGCAGGTGAGGATTCTGCTCCGGGCAGTCTATTTTTTGACCATTTTAACCAGCAGATATCCTGTTTCCCTAGCAATATATGGCCTTCCAGAAGCTTAATTGGTTGTTGGATTTGCCTCAGAAGAACGACCCTTGGAGCTAAGCTGTGCAGAAAGAGAACAAGCTTGTCCAGTGAGCTTCCATGATTGTGGATGGGCTTTAACCTGGTCTCCATGATCTTAGTCCAGCATCTACACCATAGTGGTTATCTCACTGAACACCAAGTCTTTTGGGAGCTGGACTCCATAATATCTAAAATATCAGTTTCCACCTTTGGAAAAAGTACTCAGTGTAGGAATTTTAAAAGAACCTATAAGGTAGTCCTCACTGTCTATGGTAGGGACAGCAACTCCATTGCTAAGCAGTGTGGTCATTAAGCGAATCCCCGTGAATCACTTAGTGTAACATCAAAAGATCATGCTTTGCAATTAAGGGAGAGATTGTTTCGTGATTTAGATAGTTCCAATTATAAATGGAAGCATTTTTGAAACACGTACACAGAGAGAATTTTTATTTGATTGAGTTTACATGGCACATCTGTTTCATTGACTCTAAAATAATAAAAAAAAATTCTTTCTTGGAACACTTTGCTTAGAGGCCCAACAAGCCTATATTTTTGGCTTGCAGAGTCGTCTAACTCCCTGGTTCAACCCTGAGGCAACTTGAAAAGAAACCTGAAAGGCACCTCGCCACCCACCATGTTTAAGGAAACCACCCCCTCCTTCCCTACAAAAGGAGGAATTGCAGCAAAGTGTTGTAGGCAAGAGCATTGTGAGTTAACCCCTGCCTGCCATAACAAAATCAGTGAAGAATACTTGGAAGGGGGCAGACAGGGTCAGACAGCCAACACCAATTCTTGTTCTCAGAAAGAAGTCAGCGGCTGGTGGTTTTGAACCAGAGAGTTAGCTACTAAATCTTCCTCATCTTTTCTAATGGGGGCTTCTAACGGCTGACGCGTGCCTTGAGAGGACCTTCCTCCAGGACTGCTGCCCAAATGCTGTGCTTCTCACAGACAGATGCAGTCCCTTGTTCTACAGTCCAGTTTTCCCTCACGGGGAGGAGTAGGTGACTCCCCTTGACAGATGATTGTGAGAGGAGAAAGTAGAGGGACTCATTGAGGGAATCAAAGCCAGGGAATCAAAGGAGTTACTTACTCTTTGTTCCTCTTGGGTTTTCCCACCCTCTCTGTCTATCCCTAGGGACATAATTTCTGATCTTCCAAGGCATATTTTCTTCTTCTCTTTATACAGACACCTACCCACACATTTATTCCTTCAAGCCCAGGGTAAATAACAGCCAATAAACAGGCTAAATCCTCTTCAGAATTTCACCAGGGCCTTTAATAGATGCCTGTTAAAGTCAGTGCTTAAATGCTTTGGACTGTCAACAGTCCAAGGGAATGTTGATGGCATGCCTACTAACAATAGGGAATCGTCCAATGAATATAGACAGCAAATTCTTTATTGCAAGCATTTACTAAAATTATGATGTTATGATTTCAAATATCCATAAGATGTTTCCACAATATGAATCTTTCTTTGTTATTCTCAGCAAATTCTCTGTATACCAATAGAATGCTTATCTGCATTTATCTGATCTAATCTGATCTGCTGCACCTTCTTCTTCTTATAGTCTATTGAATTGCTCTGGACTTAAAAACTATTTCAGCCCTTTTTGCCTAAATAGCAGTTCCTGCATCTGTGTGTAAAGGTCATGTTCCTTTTCCTCTATAATTAGAGACAGAAGGTTGACTTGATATAATTGGGTCTATGTCTCTCATACATACATATCTATCTATCTATCTGTCTATCTATCTATCTATCTATCTATCTATCTATCTATCTTCAGTTATTCGGGTTTTCTCCCGCATAAGATTGGAAGTATCTAGGCGACGTTTCGATGAAGTCTCATTCATCATCTTCAGGCTTGTGTCTTCGGCTTTGTGCTTCTCAGAGTTACTCAAGCCCGAAGATGATGAATGAGACTTCATCGAAACGTCGCCTAGATACTTCCAATCTTACACGGGAGCAAACCCGAATAACCAAAGATCCACATACAAATACCCGTGAGAACCTCAGAA